GGCGTATCTTAGGTTGCTCATACAAAGATACGGATTAGGTCGCCTACGTGATCATCGTTGATTAAAAATATGTATCTTAGAAATAACGACAAAGCTCTCATAATAAGGCCAATGAATACACTAGGACTCGCGTTAGCCACCACTCTAGTGGGATGAGAATCATAAGACAGCTGTTTCCTAATCATATATATTGAGATTGCGCGCAACCACGTGTCAAGTGCTGGGATGATGACAAAGTAATACTCTCGCACTAGTCTCGATATTTTCGATCATGATGAAGCCATCAAGGCTTAGTAATATGGTGATAACAAATATTCAAGATTTTCTTGACGACGTTGCTGTCCCAGGTAAAGAAGCGTGATTATATGTTAGGGTGGATTATACCAGTCATATGTGAAACGATTATCAACTGTAAATACAATAGTAACGTGCTAACGATCATCATCATCATCATCATCATCAACAACAACAACAACAACTACAGGCACCTGAGAGATATCTAGTAGAACACGAGGTAACCCATCACGAAAACAGTCAGAAATATCCTGAGGTTGAGCGTGCAAGATACGGATCGGGTCCAATAGACTATTGTTCATGTTGGATCACTATTGGCAATAGTGATCCAACATGAACATTCAAACATGAGGTTCAATGAGATTTGGTATGATATTTCTATGCGTGATTTCAGAATACGATGAAGGACTCGCTCTACACACTTGAAGGTAGTCCACCTTGAAGAGGCCCATTGCACTGTCAACTCGACGCCTATAACCGGGCCGTTACGATTGATGCACACCGATCGCATGATGCGCCTTGTTCGATGGTTCAGGCGGGCGCGACATCACATAAAGTAGCGCTCGCCCACAAACTTGTTGTTCCCGAAACGGACCTGTTCTGTATCCTCCTGCACCCAACCTAAGATACCATACCAATGCTACAGCAATTAATGAACTTAATCTTATAACTCTATGTTATGTTTACTTCAGGTATCACCTCGATAATGGCAGAGATCATAGTTCAACCAATGTGGGAAAATATGCATATAATCAGTCACATAATGTCGCAGCACCGAATGATCTGCTATTATTATCGGGCGTGCGCGAAATGCTCCAGTGAGGTAGATGCTGAGATTTGTTGCTAATTAAATTGATACTATGACTGTATTTTACTCTCCGTTTTCACATGAGTACTAGTCGCGTTGACTAGTCGGATAATATTAAAATTCGGATTAGTATGTGAGCTCCTACAATTGCTGAGGAAAGGTAGCATATTAATTCCAACACTAAGGAGGAATCTTCATAGTGTTACCAGATTACAAATAGTATTGATTCGAAATTTTATGGTATACACTTCATATTAGTTTAAAGCCTACTACGGCTTAGTTCGACTAGTTCGATGCGCATTAGCTCTCGAGAGATCAGTTTTAGCCCTTTTAAATTGCGCCTACTTTCATCATGCTAATGAGTTTAGTCCCATCTGCCAATCTACTTTCTCTTTGTATTATCAAGAATATGATGTTAAATTTAGTTTACATTCGTCCCGATGCTCGATCGAGTCAAGGCTCTCTTCCTCCAACAACAACAACAACAACAGCCTGAAAACTCACTAGCTGTTCTCGATGAGGAATCAAAAACGATTTCGCAGAAAAATATTCGCTTATATGCGATTTTTCTATTGCTATCAACTTTACCTGTACATTTGAAACTACTTTCAGCGACCCCGGGCATTCCGGAAATCGTCGGAATATGTTTGCTTTTCTGCAGTGCGATTGTGACGGGCTTTGTATATTTACGTGGAAAATACGTTCGTATTGACAACTTACTTTGGGCGTATTCGACGATTATTTTGGCTGTTTTTGCTGGGGTAAAAAACTACCGATTACGGATTACTACGGAGCTCAGCGGTTATAGAGATCCGGAGGAACGAACTGTAATAAGGGAGGAAGTAAAATTTCGAAAAATAGGATTTTTGGAAAATTGCGAGAAAAATTTTCAGCTTCCAATGAAAAATGTTTTTCTCGGATTTTCATACAAAATTTTCAGTAAAGTTTATATATTTTTCTTTAACCATTTTTCCGGGAACTCGGAGGAAAATGAACCGACATTTTTTTCCAAAAAAAATATAAAATTCTCTGAATTTTTTTTCGAACTAAATCTGCCTATGTACATTTGGGAGGGAACAAAATTTTACGAAAATATATAATAATCGAGTTTCACGACCGTTATATGAAAAACGCTAGTGAAAAAGATATTTCACGACTACTGCATATCACCGCGAAAATCGCGTTTTTCACCGAGTTTTACGCTACTCCACGTAAAACGGGTGAAACTTCAATGTGCACATGCGTTGATGACAATATAAAAATTCTCGGGAAATTTTGTTAAGTTTCCGGTGGTTTCCACTGAGAATTGTATATAAACTCCTGAGCTCAGTTAAGGAAAGCGAAAATATTTTTTCAATGGTGTACAATTTTTCCAATTTTTTTCCGAAAATTATGCGCAGCACAGGAAAGTTCACCCAAAGGGTATCTTTCGCTGTGCGCCGACGAGTTTAGTATCTTAAACTTTGGATACCGCGCGATTCAACCTAAGATTCTCAAAGATTTTTCTGTCTTTTTTCTGCAGTTATGTTTTTGAATGTCGTAAATTTTTTTGATCAAAAGTGTTTGCGATTTTTTCGAAAATTGACGTTAGTTGGAAAATAATTTTCGTGAAATCGGCGACTCCGGAAAATCTAAACTCGATTTTTAGCAGCAGTATGTTTGATCGGAATCGGAATTGTTTCGAAATTCTATGAAGCACTGGAGTTTCACAACCCGTTTTACGTGAAGTGGCGTCGTAAAACTCGGTGAAAAAGGCGATATTCGCGGCGATATGCAGTAGTCGTGAAATGTGTTTTTCATATCACTAGGGTGAAACTCCATTGAAATCATTTTTCGGCGCATCTGAAATTCAACATAGGTTCATTAATACAAGTTTTTCAAAACTGCAGGTTTATACCAACTCCATTAACATATTTTTTCCCAAAAAAATCCAATTTTTCCGTAAAATTTACCATCCTTCTTTTCTTGTCAGGGCCTTTGCACTCTTTGTTGCATCCTCGCACTAGTCCCCCCAGCTAGCGCCGTCCTCGCCAACCTCCTCATTGGTGACACACGTGGTGACACGTCAGAACTTTGGATGGGATACGTCACTAATTTCAACGTCTCCCTCTTCTTCCCGTTGGTGTCATTCGTATGTGTATATTATCAACTGCAACCTCCTCTGTATTGTGCGATTATGATTTTACCAGTTATCATCACCGCACTCGGAAGATTTCCAAAGATACGCCTATTCGTATCTTTTCTGGTCGTTGCTGTGGACTTGAAAATTCTGGGGGATTTTCCCTCGGCATTTTTGATGAGTTTCCCGATTGTATTTTCGCTCGTACCGAGGGAATATCTTTCGGTCAATTTCGGGCCTATTCCGTATCTTTCACGGGGGAACCTCGCGTGCGTGGGAGGAATCTTTTGGTGTTATCTATCTCATCAATGGAGTATAACTGTATGGTCCTGCGGATTTCTGTTATCGCATATATTTTGGATACCTTTTGGGCTGGCTTATACTAATTTCATGGCGCGCGGTAAAATGGATAGTTTTGTGGGGAGTGACGGAAATCTAAAGCGAGCGAAGAAGAATGATAAAAAAGAAGATCCAGCGATTTTATATTCTCCTAATGCTCGGGGAGGGATCCAGGTAATCGAAAGGTCGCCGGATCGAATCCCCCCAGGGGCGTTTTTCTCAGGGACTTGGTGGCGGCCCAGAAATATACGCTGATGATGACGGAGATACTGCCCATGACTTCTATGAGTCAAACGATGAAGGGTAATATTTTCGCGGGATCGGAATTTTTCACGCATGTATAATCGTCATTCAGAGAGCTGCAGCAACTGCCCAAGTCGAAGTTGCATCGATGCGAGGGAAAAAACGAAATTTACTGAAGTTCAATTATCCGCTGAAAAATTGCAAATAAAAATACCTTCGCTCCGCTGTTACATTTTCGATCATGAAGACTTGTGTTAACAGGGATAGGGTATCTTAGGTTCATCGGTTTAAGATACGGAATAGGTTGGGTGGCACAAGAATTCTTCGGTGGACTCGGGCAGAGATCAGTGATGGAGGAATATTTGTTTGGTTTCCTCAGCTGAGCTCAGGAATTTCGGTTTTACTAAATTATGAAAATTCACACAAGGCTTGGGTGAAAAATGTGAAAAAAACCAATAAGAATTCCCGAAATTTTCATCAAAATTTCCTTTTTTTTTCTGGTAGTTGCTCATGTGCGTGTTATCGGAAACTAGTTTTAAATTTAACGGCTAGTTTATTTCTCTTCTGGGAGTTGAGTATCTTAGGTTCTCCTATGTAAGATACGGAATAGGTTGGGATCGGGCCAAGATAGAAATTCGCTAAGATCTTTTTATGGGCGTTTCCTTCCACGGGTATCTTAGGTTGTTGTATGTAAGGTACGGAATAGGTTCCTCTATGGAAGATACGGATTAGGTTCCTCTATGCAAGATACGGAATAGGTTCCTCTATGCAAGATACGGAATAGGTACCTCTATGGAAGATACGGAATAGGTTCCTCTATGGAAGATACGGAATAGGTTCCTCTATGCAAGATACGGAATAGGTTCCTCTATGCAAGATACGGAATAGGTTCCTCTATGCAAGATACGGAATAGGTTCCTCTATGCAAGATACGGAATAGGTTCCTTTATGGAAGATACGGAATAGGTTCCTCTATGCAAGATACGGAATAGGTTGTCCTATGCAAGATACGGAATAGGTTCCTCTATGCAAGATACGGAATAGGTTCCTTTCAGTTCTAGATTTCCACATTATGAATTCCATAACCTTTCCGCGAGTAACCTGTATCGGCGCCGAAGAGCCGCCTCTCCTACCGCCGCAGATTTTGTACGCAGGAAAAATCTATCATCACGATGGTACGTTTCCGGGCCTCATCTGTATCTTGCTCGCTCGAACCTAAGATATGCAGGTAGTAGTAGTGTGGACCGCCGTCGCGTATGGAATGCAGCAACTATTCGGCGTTTGAACGCTACGAGGTGCGTTGAGGAAATGCAAGATTGCAAGATTTTGCAAGTAGGCAACAACTCGAACAGCAGCGGAACAAAATCGAACGAAAATGCGCGGCGGAGCGATGCAGGAGCCAAGCTCATAAATCTTCGGTGGGTATCTTGAGGTTGCCTTGGTAAGATACGGAAGAGGTTCGAAACCGGCACTCTCTTAGGGTAGTCGATCACGGAGGGGCTCTCAAAGTGCTGGGAATAATGTAAGTTTTAAAATTCCCTTGCCGGGGATCGAACCTGGCACCTTCTTCATAGCAGAGCTCTTCCTCTTCCTTTGCGCCAGAAGGAGATTCTGAAAGGACTTCGAGGGGACAGGCCAGGCTTCTAGCGGTAGGGCAAATTCCTAATATTCTAAATCGATTACGTGATCGATTTCCATTCGAGACTAGATGTAACTGTGAACACTGAGTTCATTGACCAGCCATAGTAGAGTCTCACCCGTTTAACGTGAAGTGGTGTAATACTTCATATAAGGCGTATATATTTCCGATACCGCAATTGTGCTAAGTGAAATATGTTGTTCCATATCAAGAGTGAAACTATAGAGAAGATGATCATATAATTATATCAACGGTTGTGTGTATCTCTGAACTTCACAATTGCGATTTTGTTCTCCACAAATTTACTTTGACAAAAACCGATTGAATGATTTTCTTCGGTTGTTGTCTTCTCAGAAGAAGTATTTTGGATGGTTGGTTTTGGATCACGAAGTTGATATTCTGTAAGAAGAATCTTAGGTTCAAGCGTGTAAGATTCAAATCATGTCCCCTTTCAGCCGCTGTGAGGTTTGCGAGTCCGATGGTATGCCCAGTCCGACCGATGGACCATCTCAGTGGAATCTTCCACACCTGAGAGTTCCGGTGAGGCTCACTCGCCCAAAAGATATTTTTTGCGCACGCTGAAGGTTTTGGAAGCGGCCCTCTCACAACACGCGAAATCAGAAGCTCATATACTGGCAATGACTCGGAAGGAAGGTGCGTTGAGGAAATGTAAGTGAGTGTAAGATTTCAAGATTCACAGAGAGGACCATGGGCCTCGTCCCTCCACCGACTACTATATTCAGGACGTTAGCGATCGCGGAATTACGTAGGTAATCGAAAGGTCGTCGGATCGATCCCTGGTAGGCGCTTTTTTACAGTTCCTCGACTGAGAGCGCACAGCGAAGATCCGCTAGGCTCTCACTACCTTCTACTTGTAGTATAAAGTGTCCCCTATAATCGATCACGTGATCGATTTAAGATACGCCTACTACATACAGCAGCCCGCATCGACCACGTTCATATCTAACGCTCTCAACAGGTATTGTATTTATGTCGCTCCCCTCAGCTGCTGAGTTCAGGAGTTTCCTCACTAATTATAGGAGTTTATGTACGAATCCTGGTAGAAATGTACAGAAACCAACGAGAATTCCCTTAAACTTTCTCAGAATTTCCAGATTGTCACCAAAAACTTTAGTTGATCATGTGCATATTTCCTGTATTAGACCAGCAGCAACCTTGGCGCCGCTATAGTCACCCCCAGTCGCGCCCTACAGTAGGCCAGCTCTTACCGCTAATATCATCGACAACGCCGAGACCGCCAACGTTGGGACGAAGTGGGAGATCTTGCAATCTTGATCACTCTTGCAATTCCTCAACGCAGGAGGGCTTCCTCCGCCGCCTCTCCAGCTGGGCTCTATACGGATATCGAGTGCTATAAGTGCACGGAGAGACTCGAATGCCAGCAAGCCAGCATCATGAACTAGTGCACTTAGCGCGCGCCATGGTGATCGATTGTACATATAGCATTAGTTTCTACCATGAAACGCATGGATATGTGGCGATTTTCTAGTGCGAGGTTATTGTGTTTTTGAAAATGGTGCTTGTGGGAATCGAACCCGGGTGTAGGCATTCTTAGATCGACTCTTTGTCCAACTGAGCTAATGGATTGACGATGGTATTCTATAGTTTATAGTTCTATGGTTTGTGCGAAGTGTGAGAAGAAACTGGCCAAGTTAGCGACACCTGACGTGTATCGTTCCACCACTGGGGAGCAACACAAGGGTAAGACGGCCTTCTATTGGACCTCGAATGAATCTTTCAGATCGTAAGGATGTCGGAGTGAATAAATTGATTAAAAAAGAGGATAAGTCTACTCATGTGTAAGCGGCCGGGATCGAACCTGTGCGGGATTAGCTAGGTCGGGTTGTCAGATGCAAATCCTGCAAGAACAGCGTCATGAACCAAAACAAATACTGTAACTACTGGTAAGGACAATGGAGCATTTTTATGCAACTTTTACAGCTGCAATTATTTTCAGTGCGTATAAGAAGGGTAAATGTGCAAGGTGTGGTAAGAAGGTGATCGACACAAGCTCTCACAATATGTCCGCAGTATAATACCAACCAATATTCGTCTTGCGTTCTGAGCAGGACCGTCACGCGCCACAAAATTACTCAACTCATCTCACCAGATTGTACACAACGCCTCTACTACATAATACTTCCGAAATACCGTCACGCGCCACAAAACTGCGGAGCGAGCGAAGCGTATTCTCTCACTTTGCTAACACTTTGTGCGTGCGTGCGTGCGTGCGTACAAATTATCCAGCTCGATCTAGAGAGGTTATGATCACACGCTATACACCATTCGATAGCTCTCGCTCTGGGGATACTACAAAAAATACGAAATTAGGGTTCCACCCGGACCATGTAGATTTCCGTGCAAAAAACATATTTTTGCAGAAAAACGCCAGGCATGGGAATCGAACCCGGATGCCGAGCTCCGCCCCTTCTCCGAGAAGGCCTAGTTACTCAACACAACTCATTTCATTAGGAACCGTAAATAATACACAATCACACAACTAGTACTGCATAATACTCCTCCCCAGATCCGTCACGCGCCACAAAATTATTCACAAGGCCGCATCAACCACCACAGCATAATGATCGCTGCATAACTTCAATTTATCGACTTCTTCTCCACAGTGTACAAAACCATCCCTAACTCGATCGATAGCCGCCTTGCTCGCCCACGCATAATCAATTCGATACAGAGGAGTATCTTCTTGCGTGTGCGCTGTCTTGGTGAGATCTCCATAGTGACGAAGTACGTCAACATACTCAGCTCGTTGGAGTCTACTAGTAACTTCATCGTACTCAAAAGGCCACCCAAAGTTATCATGTCGCAGTTGCAAATTCGCCCATTCGGTGGGGGAATAATCCGCTCTTGACAATTCATTCAAATCTCCCATGATTAGATGCGGTCGCTCAGAATCGAATCGATTTTGCAGTTTTTCTATCAAACTGTTGATCTGTTTAACTCGCTCTTCTTCCCGCATGTGATCAAGATGGGTACAGCAAACCGAAAAACCGTCAAAGTCAACCAACACGCCGTTCCTGATAATCTGAACAGCTTCACCGCGCCACAAAACTCTCGAGCCGCCCTCGAGAGAAATCCGACTCGCTGACTTCACAGGCAACCGAGTAATAACGGCGTTACCAAACTGCGGGTTTTTTGCAGAAGTAGTGCTGAAAAATATACTTTTATATTCTTTTCCCAGAAGGCTCGAGAGCTCCTTCAGCCGGTCGTCTTTTATTGAGACTTCATTTAGACACAAAACGTCGATCGGCATTAGTGCGCGCAAATACGCGGCGATTTGTGATGGAGTTCCTTTTCGAAATCCAAAAATGTTATATGTGACCAAACGGAAAATACGAGGGTTGGTCGGAGGCATAAGGGGACAGTAAGATACTAAAAGATTCAAAACATGTCCGCTCGAGGCCTATCAAACAAATGCTGAAGATTTCTGGTAAATTTCAAACATCATGCTGGAAAAAAAACGGTCAACTTTCCGTGGAAAAAATGAAAATTACACTAATAAATTTCATGTCTATTTTTTCCGAGAAAAAAAGTTTTGCCGAATCGAAAATTTCTGTTTTCCATATGCATAAGCCTTGATCGATTGCGATGATGCTGAACTGAATACAAAAGGGCACACACAAGATCAACCACAAAGACGGGCCTATTCCGTTTCTTCTACGGGCAAAAAGTTTTTTGGGAAAAAAATTTTTCTTGGCAAAAACACAACATGCGCATAACAAAAACCACAAATTATTCCGATTTTTTCTTCTCCTTTTTCTGAGCAACACGCATTCGAAGTGCCGTTGATCGGAGACCCAAAGTGATCTGAACAACAGGAAGAACACGACATGGTCAAACACATATGTTGATAGCGATATGAAAATTTTCTGAGAAAATTTTGGGAAATTCTCATTGACACCTATAAACTTCTATAATTGGTCGACTCAGGTGAGAAAAACGAATATATTCCTGCGATACCAACAGCCTGTCATATTGGGTGATTTTAAAATTAAAATTCAATCAGAAAATTTCCAAGGAAAAGTCGGAAAAATCCATTTGTTTAGCGGAATACAATGTGTGAAAAAAAATAAATTTTCCGGAAAAATGAGCGATTTTACGAAAAGCCAAATAGATGGTATTTCAGGAAATTTATATTTTACTGCGATTGATCTCAAGATGAGAAATAAAAAATGGGCCCGTGAAAGTTTCACAAAAAATTACATCATATTTTTTCCATAAAAGAACAAACACACCCCTGAAACATTCTTCCTAGGCCTGCAAAAAGATCGATATTTTCCGCGAAAATTTTCGAATTCAATTGAAGTAAACAAAATACAGAAAAATAGTATAAATCCAAAAAGTTTACAAAAAAACCCCAAAAAATAAAAAAAAACGCATTTTCCAAATTCTTCCCTGTGCGTAAGATACCCTCCCTGTTGATACCAATTGCAATAGTAGTACACCGACTACTACCAGCGAGACTACCATCAAGGGCAGCCCAACGAAAACTGCGATGAAAAGTCCGTTGGGGTCGAAGTAACTGCAAATGCTGAATTTTATCAAAAAAAATAAATTCTATGTCGAGTTTACATACGTGGGTTCAAAAAGGTCCTTCGAAAAAAATAAATTTCGTAGAAAAAAACAACATACTTCTGATCGTTGCGTAAATTCTAATACCACCATATTGTTGATGAGAAAATAACTTTCAAATTCATAAAAAATTCTTTTTCTGAAATTTCCAAAATATTTCCTGTAAAAAAAGTGATAGAAAAATTTCTTGAAGTGCTCGCGAAAATAACCGCGAATGAAAATTCACATGAGTGTAACCGATCAAATCTCATCGGAATATATTCGTTTCGGAAATGATATTACTTCTGCGAACTGAAGGATGCCCAATGTTCGTTTCCCCATGTGTTAAAAGTCTCGAGGCCTACAGCAAGAATCGAACCGACGACCTCTATGATGACAGCCATGAATGTTATCCAACTAGACTATTACATGCTCCACAAATAGCAGCGATAGATCCAACGCTGATTGCAAGGGTGGTGTTTTGGTAGTTACTAACGAGAAGCATAACAGCCGATAAAGCGACGCAACACGGGAGAAGAATCTGATAGAAAAATACAAAGAATATTTTGTTGGAGTTTCACGACCCGTTTCACGTGAGTGAAATATTTCTACCACTGGTGTTTTTCATATCACGGTCGTGAAACTCTATTATTAACATTATTTATTCGTGAGTACTATATATATGAAAATGTCAAACTTGAAGTATAAAAACTAATTTCTCCATCGACTTCGTATCAGAGTTTCACCCGTAAAACGGTGTAAACTGGCGTTTTATTTCACATATAAAACGCGTTGTTCATATCACGGTCGTGAAACTCTATTAATAATGGAGTTTCTTGACCCTAGTGATATGAAAAACACCAGTGAAAAACATATTTCACGACTACTGCATATCACCGCGAATATATCGCGTTTTTCACCGAGTTTTACGACGCCACTTCACGTAAAACGGGTCTCCGTGAAATTCCAATAATACCATAATTTTCCCAACTCGTCTCACCCACGGCCAATCCACTCGCCATTCAATAGCCTCTATTATAGTCGCAGGTCCGCCGGATAATAGGACGCCTGATCCGAGACAATTTCGTGGCGCGCGGTAATTTCTAGCAGTACTTGGTATCTCGATCCGCCCTCCGTCTAGGGCAGTAGCATTCAGCGACGTCCATAGGTCGTCCAACAACGAAGTTATTTTATCAGACATTTAACCGCAAAAACATTTTTTTGATATCATCCCCCTCGCGGCGGCGACCAGATTGCACGAAAACTGCACGAACAACGCAAGATGAAATACAGCAACAATTTTGTTCCTAACTTTTCGGGGTGATCCAAGGAAGAGCGACAAAATCCGATGAAGACAAGTTGAAGGGTAAACCAGAAACCCCGAACTGCTAATAACGAGCGACAAACCTTCTTGGGTTTTGTCGTTCTCCCTTAGATCTCGTAATTGACCCGAACTTTTCGTCAAAATCGTAGGGAAATGTTGCTGCACTAAATGATGATGTAACAGTCGTTGTTATCCATCGCGTTTTCATGATGGTTTACATCTAGTTACATCACACAGGTGTTAGTAACTGTATTGGCACATGATCAACTACCGAGTGTTGCTGAAGTTATGGAAATTTTGGGAAAATGCCATTGATATCTGCCCGAGTTCGTATATGAGGAAACTCCTCATGGCGTTACCGAAGCCCCCAGTTGTGACGTCAATGCAGTAGATTTTTCGGGTGGGAGATAATAACGTCTGTAGTTTTAGTGACAGTCTGGTTAATCGAAAGGACCACACATTGACTGTTGTTGTAGATGTATTGGTTGCACCATGGGTGGCTTGTATGGAGGTATACCCAATTCTCACCAGCATCATCACATAGCTGTTCTTGACAAGAACCGACAGCCTGATACCCGAAAAACCAATGTGTGCGTTCGAGTTCATGTGTGAATGACGCGAGCTCCGCCCCTTCTCCGAGAAGGCCTAGTAGACAAGAGGCTCAATTGACAATTTGTCGTTGTTGTATCTCCTCCATGAAGTCAATCATATCGCCATACTTGTTGAAGTTCTAATCTAAAACCTTGGCGTTGTGATAGCATCGGAAGTCTAAGACTACCTACAGCCCGCCTCTCCGCACGAAGGAGAGTGTCACAAAGTTTTTGCACGCAAACGCTTGGTGAGATACCTACAGTCGTTTCAATACGTTGCGCTCGCTCTACGCCCTCTCCCCTCGTGCCTCATCCAACAATGTCCAATTCAAAGTCAGTTGTTCAGTTTATTGATTTTCTACTATTCTTCAGTTCCTCAATTTTACCCTCTCCTATGATGGTTGCCCGCGCCCATACCGTGCTGTCTATTTTCTCTCTGCTCTCTCTGACATGCGGAGCCGTGAAGACCTATGGAGTGGATCAAGTTGCGTCGAAGGACCTTGGGCTTACTTACAACAATTGCGATTTCTCTATTTCTTCATCGGTTTCTAATAGCATGGGGACCGTCCATGAGGCCTCGGCTGTGGACTTAGATATTTCTAGACAAAGTTATGAACGTAGAATAGATGCTATCAGCAAGGATTATAATGAGCGCCAACGTATGTTGGATTCTGGTATGAGTCGTGGACTCAAAAAGGTGAAGACTTCGACGTTAACGGGATCATCTACGACTACCACCTCTCCGACCATAATTTCGACTACCACATCGGTAGCTTCTACTACTACGAGCACTACGACTAAGGCTTCGACTACTACGAGCACTACGACTCAGGTCTCTTCGACTACTACGAGCACTACGACTCAGGTCTCTTCGACTACTACGAGCACTACGACTCAGGTCTCTTCGACTACTACGAGCACTACGACTAAGGCTTCGACTACTACGAGCACTACGACTCAGGTCTCTTCGACTACTACGAGCACTACGACTAAGGCTTCGACTACTACGAGCACTACGACTCAGGTCTCTTCGACTACGAGCA